GCCCCCCCCCCCGCGCCCCCCCCCCCCCCAGCAGCAGCAGGATAAGGAGGAGGGCTGGGCTCAGAGGCAGGCCCGGCTCTTTCCTCTCCGTCCCCAAGGAAGGCACCTCTCCCCGCCCCCGCGGGCCGCAGGGGCCGCGCCACAAGACGCCGCGCCAACTTGGTCTCGCTTGGGGACCGCCTCCTCCCAACAGTCTGGCTCTCCTGTCCTGTCCTGCTGCTCCTTGGGGGGTTTTCTTCTGCAGAACGGCCGGCAACGCTCCTATTGCTCAGCAGGGCGTCAGTCCTCACATCGAACCCCCAGACTCAGCGGAGCTGATTTCGGACATAGGATCAGGCCGTTTCTCGCGCTCAGGATCGGAGCCCAAACGGCAGCCTACGACTCCCGCCGAAGGCAGCGGCGGCGAGGAGTCTCTGGTTTGCGCGCGCAAGTTCTCTTGGGAACCCTGACGATCGCTTCCCCCAAATAAGTTACTCATGACTGACAGTCAGGGAAGGAAGGGAGGGAGGGAGTAGGGAGGGAGGGAGGGAGGGAGGGAGGGAGGGTGCATTGACCCGATCCAGTGCTTAGGGCACATTCGCAGGATGGCAGTTGATCCTCACCACTAAAAAGAATGAGGAATGTTTACCTTCCCCTTTCACTAACTGCATTTCTGTAATCGAACAAATTTCGAGTCCAGTGGCACATTTAAGGCCAACAAAGGTTTATTCCACGTATGGGCTTTTTTGCGCAAAGCACACTTTGTCCCTTTTTGCACACGGACGCTCACACCTTGGTCTTAAAGGTGCCCCTGCTCTGCTGCTTCAGGCCAACAGGGCTGACTCCCTGGACCTATCTGCACTTCTGTAATTCACCCATGCCAAAGACCGATTGAATCTACAAGAGACAAACCTGACTTTGTAGCCTCATCTCAAACTGTTTTTGTTTTAATTTGGAAGTGGCTCCATTTCCTTGGCTGGGGCCGCTAGTCCCAATTTCCTTTGTCTTTAATCCGAGGCAAACACGACTTTCAAAGGCTACATTGCAGGTTGCGCCGTGGGGCTGCAAACGGGAAACCCCAATCATTTATCGAGTCAGGACATTTCCGACGACGGTGAGCAATCTGTCCAGTTGTCTCATTCCAGATCTGCTCCATGGACTTCAGAGACGCTACTCTGGTCATGGGACCACAGTATAATTAATTTGTAATTAAAAAAAAAAAACACATTCCAAACTTCCCTTTTCTGCTGGGATATATGGCAGCCAACCCCCACACAAGCCAGTCTTACACGTGCTTTGGAGTAAACCCACTGAACACCATGGAGCTGATTTCCGAGGAAGCATGGCCCAGGGATCCTCTCCAGCGCTTTCCAAGGAAACAGGCTGGAAGCGGAGCCGGAGGCGCGGGGCCACAGGCGGATGTCTCGTCGGGCCTCGGGCGGGGGGCTCGTTCCCCCGGCTCGGTTCCATTGAGAGGCGCTCCTTTTCTTCGCCTCCCGGCTGGGTCAGGCGCACGCTGAGGCGCACACGTGGACCCCTTTCCTCGGGCTCTGTTTTGGGGCACTCCGAGAGAATCCCTTAAGCACCCGGGCAAAAGGGACGAGGGCAGCGATTCAAAAGGGGAAGGCACCGCCTAAGAAACCAAGAAATCGGACGAAAGGGATCTGAGTTTTCAGCGATTCCTTAGGCGCTGCCTTTTCAAACGCACTGGTGGCTTCACGGGGGAAAAGGAATTCTCCCTCTAAAACCTGTGACGAATGCCGTTT